GCTGCTGTACTTCCTGCCTGCTTGTTTCATATAAGCCCTAGCCCTAGAGATCAGGGCCTGATATTCTGGGAATGATCCCCATCAGTGCCCATGGATATAAATAAACCTGCCTCTAATCCTGGGTATCATTTCAGTGTTTCTACTTGTCATTGCATTGGCACATGCCTGTAATCCCAGCATTTGAAAGGCTGAGGCAGGAAGATCCCCATGAGTGTGAGGTCAGCCTGAGCTACACAGTGAGACCCTGTCTCAAAAACTCAAATCACATCACATCAAATCAAATCCATCCATGGTCTCTGCCTTTTGCCTACATCTGTTTTAGTGTGGCACTGAGCTGAGCTTGGATGTAACCTTTATTACCTATATCATAATCAAAATGAACCTTTTCTGTAGGTGCTTCCCCACCCTGGGCTCCACTGATTCACCAGAATTCTGCCTCATGTAATTCTTTTTAATTTCACCCTGAGACAACCCATCCTCACAATGTCAGTGCTCTCCTTAGGAAAACCTCTTGTTAAGACAGCACACTGTGATGATACGTGCATACCCATGTTGACAGCAGCACAATTCACAATAGCTAAGCTGTGGAAATGGCCTAGATGCCCATGTACGGGGGAATGAGGAAAGAAACCGTGATAGATGTATACATGATGGAATAGTATTCAGCCATAAAGCAAGACATTATTCTGTCATTTCCAAAAAAAAAAAAAAAATGGATGGAACCAGAGACTATTGCACTGAATGAGATAAGCCAGGAACAGGAAGTTGAATACCATATTTTCTCCTATATAAACAATCTAAAACCAATTTAATAAATATGAGAAACTATAGGAAACTAAGACTTTTAGAGATGGAAAAGGGGGGTGTGAAAGGAGAAAGGAGAAGAGGAAAATGGGAAGGAAAATAATCAAATCATGTTACACACATGCACCAAAAACAATCTGGTTATGCTGCAGCACTGATGTACACCAATAAAACAGTCTTTCATTGGTCTAACATAGTTACTATCTGGCTCTTCACAGGATATCAACCAATTACTTTTTGAAGCCCTGGTGTACGTAACAAGCCCGATTTTCTCCCTCTTGTCCCTCAGACCTGTTCCCTATGTCCTGGCAGAGGTCAAAGCCTGGTGTCCAGTTCCCCCAGTTGCAGATGCCCATTTAGAATTCACGATACGCCCTCCAATTCCGTAGCCAGGGCAGGGAGAGAGTGTGGTGGCACTGAGGCTCTTCTACAGATTCCCGCCTCCCTGTTCCATCTTTGGTTCCAAACATGTTAGAGATTTTTTTTCATGACATCTATAATGATGCCTTCTGGAAATGCATTTCTTTTATTTACGAAATGTCTTTCAGGGAATACCAAGCCCAAATGGAGTCCAAATACCACTGTTCCTCTTGTAGAGAAATTCCATGTGACTCTGGGAGTCACAGTGTTTACTCTTCAGATTTGGTCCTGAAAGTACAGAAGCAACAGAAAGAGGGTTTTTCTTCTGCACATATGATCAGGCTTCCCTGGGGCAGGTTGTAACCTGGGGCCCCCTCTGCACTGAGCAGAGAGCCCCAGAAAGAGACTCACAAGTCTTCACCAGCACTGAAATCACTCAGTTCAGTTTAGGTAGCCCACTGTGTATCATGGATGTTACTCTGATTAACCCTGGTTCTTCTCAGGGTAAGGAGACTGAGAGAGACCAGAAGGAAGGAGACACAGGAAGGAAGGAAAGCAGCGTTCACTCCTCCCACCAATAAGGGGTCTTGCATGCAAAAACATTTGAATAAGCAATGTATCGAGAGTGAGTTTCTCAGGGAACTCACAGAGTCCAGAGGAAATTGGGAGAGGCCGGCTCAGAGACAGAGCAGGAGAGGTCAGGACCCAGCATCTCTGCATCGCTGATTGAGGGCCCCTGGCAGGACTTTCCCCAGGAGCCAGCCTGGACTTTGAGCCCCACCCTCGCTCCTGAAAGCAGGCAGCAGCAAACTGCCTGGAGTTTGTGCATTGCGGTAACAAGGGGTGACTCCGTGAGTGAGGAATGTGGGCTGCAGGACACAATCAAACCACCTCCAGGACCACGCCACAGCGGTAACACCCCAGACTTCACCCGAACCATGAAATACGCGATTCTTAATCAGCAACTAAGACTGGGGTTCGCTGGAGTTTGCATTATTTCTCTACCCTTGTATAACAAACGTCTACAAACTCCCACTTATTATCTCACAGCCTGCGGGGGCAGGATTCGGGCTCATTGTGGCTGGATCTTCTTTGCCCAGGGCCTCACAGGCCTGTGATCAAGGTCCAGCGTGCCTGGGTCTCACATGAGGCTCAGGTCCTCTTCTAATGTCTCATGGCTGCCAGCAGAATTCAGCTCCCACCCTCACAGTCCAGGGCCCCGCTGTGCTCCCTGAGGAGCCCTGCATTCCCCGCAGGGCTGCCACAGACACCAAGCCACAGGGACACGGAGCACCTCCAAAGCTCCCAGCACAGCTGCTGCCCAGGTGCAGCCGTGAGCACACACAGCCACCAGTCAGCCCTGACAAGAGTGTCACCACTGCGGTTAAAACAAACTGTGAGGTTATGCCACAAATTCTGTAAGTTCTTGGAACAAAACTGTTAACATCCATAGGACTGGATCAATTGTGCATGTTAGTGTCTGGTGACCTGAGGAACTCCTGAAGATAACTATGTAAAATAACAACCTTAGTTCTGTTCCTACCACCTTGTCTTGAAGGCCTGTATTGTCAGTGTTTTGGGCTCTTTGATATTATTACTTATTTGTCTTTTTTGTTTCCATCTCCATCTATTGCTGATGATAATTGTTAAGCCAGTATATTAAATATACTCAGAGAAAAGAAACCCCACAGAATGGGAAAGAATTATAGCCAGTAACCCCTCTGACAAAGGACTTATATCAAAAATATATAAAGAACTGAAAGAAGTTCAAAACCCCCAAATTCAAAGACCCTCTCCAAAAGTGGGCATCTGAGATGAACACACAGTTCTCAGATAAAGATATACAAATGGCAAATAAATACATGAAGAAATGTTCACCATCACTGGTCATTTGAGAAATGCAATTAAAACAGCATCGAGATTTCAGCTCACCCCGGAAAGAATAGCTGCCATCAAGAAATCAACTGATAACAAATGTTGGCGAGGCTGCGGGGGAAAAGGAACACTGCTCCACTGCTGGTGGGAGTGTAGACTGGCGCAGCCACTATGGATATCACTATGGAGATTTCTCAGAAGACTGGGATTGGAAGTTCCACTCAACCCAGCTATTCCTACTGGGTATTTTCCCAAAAAACCTGAAGAGGTCATGTCACATGGGTGCTCATGTGCACCCATGTTCATAACAGCACAGTTTGTAATAGCTAAATCTTGGAAACAACCAAGATGCCCATCAATTGCAGAGTGGATGAAAAAAACATGGTATTTTATACAATGGAATATTACTCAGCTATAAAAAGGATGATCTTGAGGCCTTCATAGGTAAAAAGAGACAACTTGAGACTATCCTCATTAGTGAAATAAACAAGAATCATATTTTAAAATATCACATTGGGTCTGTACTGTAAAAAAGTAATAAGAACTGTAGAAGTAATAAACCCAAAATGTGTAATTGCTATTGCAAAAAGAGGAAAAGAAAGTGCTCTAAAGGATATAACTGCATGTATGTTTAAGAGTGTAAGATAGATAACCATATTACTAAGTTTTTGTTGGATCATTGAGCAGAACTGTTTGCAGTCTCACTGTTAGAATGTCCACTTTGTATGCTTTAATTTTATAACTTGAACAACTATTTCTAAGACGATAGTATGTAATTTATCAACTAGTAATTTCTTAGTGTTTATTTTTTTAATTCTGTATTGTTGCTACCCTTTTTTTCTGTTTTGCTTTTTTTCTCTTTAAATAAAATTTTAAAAAATATTTAAATAATTAAATTAAATATACTTGGAGCAACACTCAGATTGCTGATTGGCCTGGCCAGGCTGATGCATAAATTTAGGCACCTCACATCTAATGTGGTTTTTCTTCCTCCGATGCTTTTTGCACCCTGACTCATACACCTTTCCCAAGATATTCCCAGCATAAACCAGCATTCTCTTACAGTCTGTTTGGTACATGTGTATCCCAGCTTTTATGACTGCAAAGAAGCCACCCAAAAGAGCAGCTTTAAAGCAGAACAGCCATGAACAGTATCACCCTTCCTGACCCTATGGCTTGACTAAGTTCAACTAGGCAGGGGTTTGCCCACTCACAGTTCTCACCCTGGTCTCCCGCCCAGTGACAGCCAGATAGCAGCTGTGGCTCAGACCATGTTTGAGATGCCCAACAAGATTCTTCACTCTTATATCCGGCTCCTGGGCTGGAAACTCACTCTCCTGGGAGCTGTGACCAGGGGCCCCTTAACAGTTCCTCCAGGGGTGGTTTCTCATGACAAGCCCAGGGTAGGAGGACTTCTTACAAGGCAGCGGGAGGTCCCCAGGGCAAGGGTCCCAAGAGAAACAGGCCCAGCTGTGTGGCTTCTACCAGCCAGGCCGCATCACAGAGCCTCAGCCAGACTGAAGGGGAGGCTCCACCAGGCTCTGTAGATTGGCGTTAAACTACTGTGGGGTTTGACTACCGGCCCCTCAGATCAGATAGAACTGTGGCTCTGTCCTCCTCCAGGACCATTGACTCTGGCCAGGAAGGACACTACAGCATTTTCAGAAAACAGGACAGGGGTGCTGCCAACCAACAGCCTTGTGGCATGGGTGTGATAAACGGGGAAAGAACAAGGAAGTCTCCCCTCTTCTTCAGAGGAGGAGCCCATCCCTCACCACTGCCTTTGGACACTCTCTCTAGCTAGTTCCTTTAGGTCTTCAGCTTTCCAACATCGACTCACACCAAACTCTGCAGCGAGTTCCAGGCCTTCAAACTTTGCCCTCATCCTCTGACTCTCCAGGGCACAGGGGCCATTCTGCATCCTTCCACACTGACCCAACAGGCAGCCATTGTAAGCCTACCTGGTAAATCCTTCAGTGGACCCTGGGAGTCACGCGAAAAGCCTAGGAGAACAGAGAAGTGTGAGGTTGGAGGATGGCCTCTGGGGCTCTCAATGCCTCCTGAGTGAACTCACTCAGACTCCCCTCCAAACATCCCAGGAGAAAAGTTCAAGCAAGCAGTCTTTGTGACAGTCACTGAGAAAGCCTGGGTCCTGAATGCTTTGCCTCATAAACAGGAGTGCTGCCCATGTAGCTATGTCCACCTCCATCCTTAAATTTAGGAGGATGCTTGAAGGGATTTCCCTCATGAAAAACCACCCAGCATATCCTGATCAGCATTGTCTCACAAAGATTTAGAGTCTTTTGATTTTTTTTTTTTTTGTTATTGTTTTGTTTTTGTTTGTCTTTCTGAGACAGTGTTTCACTATGCAGTTTAGGCTGGCCTTGAACTTCCTTTGCAACCCAGGCTGGCCTCAAAATCACAGCAATCCTCCTGCTTCGGCCTCCCAAGTGCTGGGACTACAGACATGCACCATCATGCCTGGCTGGTGTTAGAATCTTTCAATGGTTTGTTTTGACCTATTTCCTCCAAATGATTTTTTCCCTCAACAGACACCCTCGAAATTGCCCAAAAGAAAATCCAGGTCATTCCTGCTGCTTTGTGAAATTAAAGGAAGCTGTTCATAGGTTCCAAGAGCTACCTTTTCTAAGGATCTGGGGAACTGTGACCCAGATACCAGCCACGGCGCACATCGGGCCAGACTGGGGTGACACATCTGGAGGATGGTGTGCTAGTGCCCTCAGGGTTTTTTTTTCCAGCTGGCTTTGAGGACTGGCTTTGATCCACAATCTACAAAGTGACATTTTTGTAAACCAAACCATGCATTGATTTCCATGATAAAATCAGAAATTCTTTCCCATGGAAAACAGTTAACCACAAGTTATAACAAAAATTAGACTTTAAAATGTTGTTACTTTAGAAGGAAAATTATAATTTCCCCAGGAAACTGGCCAAAAATAAATCACAAAGTGCACATACTGTATTAAAAGTTTAGGAAACCTGTCAGAAATTACAATTAGTTGGGCAAAATCCACAGGAGGGTAGAGAGCTTCTGTTGTGACACTCTCAACTTCTAGCTATTTCTTTTAAAAGAGTTTTTATTGCCAAGCATGGTGGCACATGCCTGTAATCCCAGCACTCAAGAGGCTGCAGCAAGAGGATTGCTGCAAGTTTGCGGGCTGCCTGGGCTATGAAATGAGTTTAAGGCCAGCCTGAACTGCACAGTGAGACCCTGTCTCAAAAAAATTAAAAATAAAAAAGGGTTACCGTTTGAGTGTGATCTTTTCATTGTTTGCTGTATTTAATAGTATTTCCCTTGTGAAAATTTTGTCATATTTTTCTTTCACTAAAATTGTTTTGATAGGGTTTTCTTTTCTGTGTAAGTATAGATACATTTACATAGAACCAAGTTGCAACATTGAATCAGGAAGAATTTTAACATGGCTTATGGGAAAGAAGTCCCTTCACAGGGCCCTTGGTGGGCAGTGACCAGCACTCACCTGAACACATTCTGGGGAAGATGTGAACCACACCGCAAGATGGTCCATGGCGTGGGCTGGAGCTGGCTTCCTTCACATGGGATGGATGACATTTCCTGCCCTGAGCTGGTGTCTCTCATCCCAGACTGACACCACACAAGGGCAAACTTGCACACAAACCCGTTCGCTCTGCTTCTCCTGCTCAATAGGATCGCTCTGCCATCTGTGTGGGGAGAAAGCTGTCAGAGAGCAAAGCCAAACCACCCTGCCCATGAGCCCGTGCAGCCATGGAGAGCAGGAAGAGGATCAAGAAGCCAAACTGCACCTTCCTGTGAGCCCACAGTGTAGGAGCTGGGTGAAAGAACAACCAGCCCCCACCCGTTCACAGCCCTGGGAGCAACTGGCTGATTCGCAGAAGTAAAAAAAACAGATAAATAAATAACTTAATGCTTACATTGTTTGACTGACATTGCAGGCCTGAAACTGATAGTCTGAGCATCTATTTGGAGAACAACAATATGCATTATAATGATTGTCGGGAATTTCCTTCTGTCTTGTTTTTAAAATCCAATATTTTGGACTAGAGATATAGCTCAGTGGCACAAGTACCTACCTGGCAAGTGAGAGGTCATGAATTCAATCCTCAGTACAAAAAAAAAAATCCAATGTTTCATTCTGCTTTATTGTTTTGTTTTATTCCTGAATCTGGTAACCTGAGCAACTATTTTGGAGAAAACAATATGCAATGTAACAACCCCTGTTAAATTCCAATTGTCTTGTCTTGAAAACCTATATGGTTGTTGTTTTGCTTTTGTTCTTGTTGATTTTTTTGGTTTGTTTGCTTACTGATTTTTCTGGAATTTTTTTCTTTTCATTTTAAAACAGAGAAAAACAGATGCCTCCCATCCATGCGGCATTTCCCCAGTTTCTCTCACAGATCTTCACAGTTTCCCAGGAAACACACTGGCACACATTCCCATGGGGCCCTGAGGAACTTAAGGCCATCCTCAGTCCCCCAAAGATGACACATCACAGCAGAGTTCAAGGGACTATTGCACGTCTGCTTCTGGGGAAAAACGCTGATATTGATAAAGCCGAGCACATGCCAGCACAGGTTCCCCTGGCACCAACAAGCAGTGGAAAGAACACAGCATGTGCTTTCTCGCCAGGCTGCTTTGGTTGTGCTGGGAAAAGGGTACCATGGACTGTTCCTGAAAGAAAAAATTTAGATTCTTCTGCCAGTAAGAGCAAGGCTGAAGCAGAGCTTGTGCCCTGCACAGTGAGAATTTTCCCTGCTCGACGCAGATCAGCTCTGACTCCACGGCCTCCACTGCACGGTTTTCCTGAAGTAGCCAGGAGAAGCTGCTGGGATTCGCTGGTGCCACTCATTTCTTCTTACCTTGGTGATGGAACTGTTCATTGCCAGGCGTCACGGTTTACAGCTGGATGCCCCCACCCCAGTCCCTCCACCTCCTGGGCAGGAATTTGGCAGGCGACTACAACAGGGCTTGGGGCTGACTTGCGCCCAGGCAGTGGGGACCCACAGAAAGAGGCTGCTCACTGGGGCTGTGGTCACCCCTGCTCCTCCCCCTCTCTGCTTCCTATCTGCCACGTAGCTCTCCTCCACCACGCATGCGCATTGTGAAATGATCGCCACAATAAAACAGACACAGCCCTCGCCACACGTTGGTGCCACTGTGTGCACACATGGGGGGACTCTTAACCTCAAATATGCAATATGTTATTGTTAAGTAGTCATGTCCGGCCCACAGAATTTATTTATCTCAGAACTGAAAACTTGTACTACGTGACCAACATCTGTCCATTTCTGCCTTGCCTTAGCCACTGGTCACCATCATCCCACTCTCTGCTTCCAGAAATTAAGTTTCTAGATTCCATCTATGTGGCATGCTGCAGTATTGTCTTCCTATGTCTGCCTCAGCTTAGCATAGAACCTTCTAGGTTCATGCATGTTGTTACAACCGGCAGAATTTCCTTCTTCTCATGGGTAAATAATATTCTGCCACGAACATTTGCCACATTTCCTTTATCCGTTCAGCTGCTGACGTACAGTTAAGCTGCTGACACATGCTGAGATTGATTTCTTATCTTACCTCTTGTGAACAGTGCTGCAGTGAAAAAGTGCAAACATTCCCTAGGGGATCCCAAAAGACTTCAGGCAGCCAAAGCATCCCAAGGAAGAAAGAACAGAACTAGAAGCGTCAGACTGCCTGATTTCAAACTATACTCAATTAGGAAGCTATGTAATCAGATCAGCACTGTACTGGCATAAAACCAGACATACAAACCAACAGAAAGCCCCGAAATAAACCCACAAGTAAACAGTCAACTAAACTTCAACAAAGATGCCAAACGCAACGTGGAGAAAGGACAGCTCTTCAATAAATGGTGCTGGTACAAGCAAAAGTAATGCTTCTGACTGAGACAAGGTTTCTCTGTGGAAGCACACTTCTTTTTTTTTTTGTCTTTTTCATTTTTTATTGGTACCGGGGATCGAACTCACGACCGCCTGCTTGCAAGGCAGGTGCTTATGCCGCTGAGCTAAATCCTCAGCCCGGAAGCACACTTCTTGACAAGTACTGGTCTGCTTCACTGGTCTTCACACTGAATTTTCCTCTTTGCAAACTCTACTTTTTTTTTTTTTTTTTGAAAAGTGGCCCGTTGTGTTTCTTGGGGTGCCCAGAGGTACTTTTGCAGAGCAGGAGGGAGAAGTGTCCTGCTGGGCCACCACCATTGGCACCGGGAGGCTGGAGGCTCGAGCAGGCAGAGTGTGAGTTCTGCACGGCAGAGCTGCCGTGCCCTGCATGGAGACACTCAGGACCAGCGGCGCTCAGAGGGTGCACCCCGGACCAGCAGCTTCGGCACCCCTGGGAACGTGACACAGAGATCCAAATACATGGTAAATGTTTAATACTTTTAAATGATTGTAATAAAAGACATTGTCATTAGTGCCCTTCAGGTTCTCTCCCTGATGTTAAATACACGCGTCCCACCCTCTGGCCACTTTCTGGGGCAGTTCTGGAAGTCTTCTTTCGTGTCTTTCAAGGTGTGCCTAAAACATGGTGAAAGTGTTCCCAGGGCGTCCAGCCGGTCAGGGCAGGCTCAGGAAACACCGTCGTGTCTTCATCCACCTTACCCACCGCGCCTGAGGCCATGGAAGTTCTGACTCTTCCAAAAGCAAAATGATCAGGAAACGTAAACCTGCTGAACCGACTCAGGTCGTCAAGGCAGCAGCGACAGGGCAACAAAAGATGCTCACGAAAGGATTCCCAGAACCACTTCACACAGCGACCACAACAATGGGAAGAGTGTGTTCAAAGCAAGGAGTGTCTTGAGGTGAATTAATGGCAACATATATTTTACTGTCATAAAGCTTAATATGCAAGCACATCTCATATTTTTTGATCACGTCTCATAGGTGCACACAGTCCCCCTTCTTAAACCTGCTGATTCAGAAGCCCTGGGTGCGTTGGAAAGCCCTGGCGGGGTGTACGTGTGGGTGCGCATATGCGTCTGTCTGTCTGTCTGTCTTAGGTTTGAGAACCATAACCACAGCCCCACACAGAGGTTTTGTGGCCCTGTAATTTCCCATGCTGCCTTGGCTCGGATGAATACACCATAGGAGGTCACATGCAGAAAGGCAGTCTGGTTAAATCTGAAGAACAGAGACTAAATAGACTCAACAGTGACTCTCGGGGGCCTGGCGCTGTGTGGGGGGTACCCACAGCCTTGCTCGGGGTCGGGGTCCAGGGCCCAGGGTCTCACAGCCTTGGGGTCCTGCACAGAGCAAGGCCCGTGGGCCTGAGCCTCAGCTCACCCCCTCGGGCTCTGTCTCTGAGCCGGGGAACGCACAGCTCTCGGCGGGTCTCAGAGGGCTGAAGCTCAGCTCGCTCTATTTCACCCAGGCCCTTCGGATTCAAGTCCTTACAGACTGATTTGCTTTCACTGTTGAAGAGCCAACCTCCTCCAAAGAGGTTTGAAAGAAACCCGCTGGCCTGGAGCTTTCTGAAATGCGTTTCTCATGCTGTTTGTGGGGGGCGCTGTTCTCATGCCTGGTTCCAAACCCATGCGCGACCTTGTCCTCCCTGCCTGGGGACAGCACTTTCCAGAGGGACCGAAAGGACCCCGAGAGAGGCAGTCAGGGCCAGGCTCTGCCCAGGGTCACTCCCTGGCGGTCAGTGCTCTGTTACCACCCAGGCTTCAGACCTTGCTGACCTCGTTAACCTGGCTGTGTGTCAGGAGGCAAGCTTGGACTTGCTAAGCAACGTGCAGCACACAGGGTGCCACCACCAAGAGCCCCAAGTAGCAGGGCACAACTCCTGTGCTCCATCCCTGCACCTCTCTGAAGAGATATCTGTGAGAAAGGCCTGACACATGACACCAGGGCCTGCTGGGTCCTTCAGACGCTCACCACAAGGCAGGAGCACGGTCATCCAAGTCACACATGGTGACCACAGGCAGGCAGTCAGGTCCTCTGGAAGATGCCCGTGGCCCCCAGAGCTGACTTTTCAGGTTTACAGAAGGAGGCCACATGTGTCCCTCCAGTGCGGGCACCCGGTCAGGCCCTGCAAGAAGCTCAGTGTCCCCAGCTGTGAATCAGAGCTTGGGGGCAGAACATCTCCGTTCACTTTCTATTTGCACCTGGATGCACAGTGAAAAGCACCACAGTCCATGGGGGGGGGGGGGGAGAAGCACCTGCTTTCCACCTCCATCGCCTGAAAAGGGGTCATATAAGTCAACCAATCAGCAAAGCAAAAAGTCCCTCACTCTTCATTGATTTGCTTTCCAAGGTTTCATAACACTCAGTCAACTGTGGTCCAATATAGGAAATGGAAAACTCCAGAAGTGATTCATAAGTTTTAAGCTGCACTGCAAGCCCTTCCAAGCAGCATGATAAATATCGAGGTATCCTGCTCCACCCCACCCCTTTGTCTAGCATTGCACACACGTCCCACCCTGTGGAAGGCAAGAGATCACATTTGCCTAACTTTTATTCATGCATATGGTCATAATTGTTTTTATTTACTTATTACTGTGAGTAATCTCTTATTGTGTCTAATTTGTGAGCTGGACTTTACCATAGGTTTATATGCATGGGGGAAACCCACCTTCCACAAACACCCCTGGGAGTCTTGAAATGCTCCCTGTGGATCAGGAAAGACTGCTATAAAAGGGGACAGATACCTGATCTGCTTCATCGCT